AACAAAAAGCATCTCCTGGTGTTGAAGCAAATACAGCAGGAGGCCATTGTAAAGCCTTTGTTCTTCATAAGCCAAGGGACTGACAGGAATCCTAAAGGGAGAGGAGGTCGATTAATCTTAGAGCTCTTGGATCAGGGGCTGATCATGACTGACACAGGGAGCCCTCACAGCACCCAAGATAATTCAGCAGAGCAGCAATTGTTGAATTGTTGGGATGGTGACCAGTGGAGCTTGGTGGGTCCACAACACTGGGACCTTCACAGTGACAGAGCCCCAGCTTTGCTGCAGTGCTCCGCAACACAGTGAATCTTTGTGGCAGCACAGCAAAGTAGTTAGAACCGAACAGTATATGAGGTTTGGAAAATAAAGAATTAAAAGGACAGACAAAAAAAAAGCATCCTATCAATCTGCCATTGCTCACTGGCATTGGGATGGAAAGAATGGTTTTGTTCTACCTTCATTTATGAAGGTGAACTCTGATCACTAGAATAGCTTATGATTAGAACTGTCTGGAAAAAAAACATGGGTGACAAACTGCTTCAGTGTATTAATTTATTAATCCACAGACATCCAACATATCAGGAGTGGAAATGCCAGATGTTCCCAGTAGCCATGTTGAGTTTGGGTTGGGTTTTTTTTCTTTTTTGTTCTCCCCATATCTTAGGTTTTTTTATGAATAATAGTTGAATTTTTACTATCCCTGTCAAGTCAGAATAATATAATCAAAAGGATTCCTTATATAAGATTCTAATCACAATCCCCAAAAGACCTGTGTATTCCCTCCTGCCAAGTATTTGGAAGCTTGGAGAACATTTACATAAATGCTGTGCCCTTAATGGAGCTTCTCCAGCCATGCTGCACCAACTCAGTTACACCCAGCACAATGTTAATATTTAAACAAGAAATTCATAAACTCTGGAGAGTAATGTGGAACATGAATACACCAGTCTTCTGTTTGCCAAATGAGTATATTCATTATTCATTTGCAATTTTAGTACAAATATAGACACTGGGCCCAGTCCAATTGCTTTCATTCGTGTTCCTCTTTTATAAACTTACTGTTGATTCTGTAAAGACTTGAGTTTGGGCTCCTTTTGAAAGCAGAAGGTTTAAGCAGAATTATAGCCAGGTACAACACAGATTTACAGGATAAACCACTGTGTCATCAGCGCCTTCTTTAGGATTAGGTAACATTTCTCTTTCCTGGATTCCCATTTTTCTTGGGACAGACTAAGTTTCTCCACAATAAACAAGGCTGCTTGTAAAACCTCGTTGACTGAGCAATAGCCTTTGCTGCATACAACAATCCTAAGAGATTATTCATGGCTTACCCAAACATCAACACCCTCAGCTCACAGGCCAGAGAAGCAATGTTTTTAGTCCTTTGTCTTCTTTTTCAGCTTCTTTCTTTAGCTTAGACATCTGTTCCTGAATCTACTTCTACCAGCTGTTAACTCCTTACCAGAAGGAGCACTCCACAAGCTATTCAGGGAGATAAATAGCTCTCAGACCACTCACTGAGTCCTCCTTTCCCTTAGCAGACTGTGCTTGGGTGCCCAGTTCTCATTTCATCCTAAAACAAATCTAAATTATAGACTGGGATGAGGCAGCTGACTCCAAATATCAATGTATCATCAGCAGATATTCATGGGTGGCAACAGGTGTGCATTCCAAATACAGTGAATACACTTTTAGTTCTGTTCAGCCACCTTCCACAATGACTTTCAATTAGTTTTGTGAAATAATCACTTCCTGCCTCTTCAGATACTTCTGCCACTACCAGAAACTGCATTATTGTGGTGACAGTAAAGGGGAACCAGGTTACCACACTGCTAAATCCAGGAACATGATCTTAGGAAGAGCAGAGCTATTAGCTAATAATAGCTAATAGAGGTGTATTCTGCATTTCCCTATAAAAGCCCCATAATCAACTGTAGTACAAATCACAAGAGAACACCCACTATGAATAAGAAACAAGTAAAACTTGACCATCAGGAATTAGCTACTGGTTTTCTTAAGTGAGTCTAAAACTTGCAAAGTTGCTTTGCCACAAAGTACAGGCTAAAAAGTTCACACAAGTCCCTTGCCTTGGCTTTGTCCATGAGATCTGCCAAGGTTCCCTGCAGCCACAGGCTTGCTGCAAATTTACAGAAGCAATGAGTCAAAGTGAGTAGAAGCAAACAACTGGCTGGCTGGAGTCCTTGTGCACTCATTCAAGAATTGCTTACTGAGATCAGAAGTAAAAATTTCTTCACCAAAATGAAGCATAACAAAGTATCTACAGAAATTTAAGTAACATCAGTCAAATCCCTGATAAAAGCATAACAATACATTCTCCTAGGTGTGGAGGTTTTCATGATCCTCTAACTAGACTTTTAATATAATACCTGTGCTAAGCCTTACAATTTTTGTGTTACAATAACCATAGCTACAAATCACAAAGTATGTGCAGTTTAGGCTTATAATGTAGAAAGTTTAATATTCTACTTTTCTGTTCCCAAGGAACCATGAGGATTCCATGTTCTAACTACTGAATATTGCTACTCAGTCACTTCAGTGAAACTAGAAACATGACAGGTCTCCACAAATAAAAGTCCCAAAATATTGAGAGAGGTGATAATCATAGACAGAATTTACACTTTAATATAAACAAGTAAGAAATTGAAAGTAAAATGGCTCATAAACAACTTTGTTTAGTTGTTTCATGTCAAAGAAGGAAAAAGTAATCTCACAAAAAGGCAGATTGCCAGAATACATGAAGAACAGTTTTAACACCTGCAATGAACTTATGCTGTATATGGAGCTGCCATTGCCTCCAGAAGGTTAATTCCAGCAATTGCACAGAGCACACATTTCTGCATATTAGATCTAGAAGCAGTTTTTTCCCATAACCTTCACATTTACACTGAACAACTGTAGCAAGCACTACCCAACATGTCTCAATTTCCTATACTCTGGCTGCCAAATATTTCATAATGTGCCAGATAATTGCACTAATTCTTGCTCTGAAAGACATAAAGGATATTTATTACTTTTTGCCCTGTGTCAGCAGATATGATTTGCCAGTTGACTACCTTGAATTTTACTGCTGTACAAGACAATAACAATGATTTATTCTGAATCATTGAAAGCCCCAGGTCACCCAGCAGGAAGTGGTATAGACCAATCTCACTGACAGTGTATCACTGATCAGGTTCTCCTCTCTGCCCAACTACCAAAAAGGTAATTTTTCATAACCCTAGGTGGTAACTCAACAAGCACAGCACCAGTTAAATGTTTTATAAAAAAAACACCAAGCTCCAGATTTACTGGGTTATCTCCCAGAGCTGGTGAGATCAGAATGATAGCATTTACAGGGCAGACATACTTCTATTTATGGTAGCTGTTGTCTTGACATCACAGGCAGGAAAACCCTATGCTGATTGCTTTCAAGGCTTCTCATTGCCACAAATGCTCAGTTTAGCACTGAATGTACTTTAAAACCAGGCAAAGGCAAATGTCCAGAAGTAGCTGGGCCATGTCCCAAAAGAGTGGGACATTTAAAAACTGAAGCAGCTCATCAGCCAATAGGGAACACACTGGATTCTTATGTGCAGATACAGGAATCAACAGGCACACATTGGGATAATTTGGCAATGGAGATAAAGGAACAAAGTCTTTTTGCATGTGTGTGCATGCACAGAAGCCCCAGGTGACAGCAAATGTCACCTGATGGCAGAAAAGTGAGAGACAGTGAAGCACTTTTTTTGTTAACCTGGGGGCCAAGGGATAGATTCTTGGTGAAGGCCTTTTAGCATCAGCCAATACTTGTAAGTATCGCCACACAACTAATCCAAACACTGATAAATAAATCTCATCTGCCTCCACTCATTTACTAACTTTAATACTCAGATATTAAGGAACTTGGGGTCTGTTTGTAAAACTGTTTTGTTGCATTCCTGAATATCCTCTATGGTCAGGTTTTTTCCCAGAGGACAGAGTGGCATATATCCAACCATACCACACCTTGTTAGATTAATTTCCCCTGACATGGTTTTGTTAAAGACTTGTATCTAGTCAAATTCTGGTAGACCTAGTAATAAACCCACAGAACAGGAAAACAGAGACCACACCTAGAGACCTATGAAACATCAGAAAGGTTTAAAAGTACAGTTCTCCAAAAACAAAGCCTGACATAGATGCTGGGTACCAATTTTGCTGAATATAAGCTGTTAAAATGAACTTGGCTTGCCATAAAATAACCATTCAACTGAATAACAAGGCCTTTTTACTGCATAGAAGATATTAACTGCTAATATATCTATTTTGTAGTGTCATAAACTTGTAGTTCATATTAAGCTAGCATGGCTGTGATCCACTAAAACAAAGATTTACAAGTTGTAACAGGTATATTTTAACATCCTCTAGTGTCAACAGTGAAAAGGAAAATCCTCCATTATCTGATCACACTAGGCTGTTCCTTCTTACCACCTTAACTTGCATGACACCTTCCAGTTTTGTGCCCTCTTACCATCACCCCAAACATGCCTTCTCTAGCTCCAGCCAAGCACTCACTGCTTGCAAGCTCAGCTGGCTCTGCTTGGATGTCAACTTGAATTTTAGTAGAAAGAGAAACAACTCATTCTGCCCTTTCTTGATAACAGGGATTCATTCCTCTGGCATCAAATGGTGTTACAAGGTCAAAGTGAGGGTGAGCTTTTCAGAGTCAAATCCAACAACTAACATGGCCAGCACTTATCTTGGCTAAGAGAAGTAGTTTTCATTAAACAGCTCTCTTCATATGGTTTCTTACTTGAGCCTTGCCCTGTCTAGTCAGTGCCCAACAGAATGGAAGTGATCAGCCAGCTCAGAACCTGTCACATCTGCCCATAATATACCATATAAACACTGAACTTAGAAAATGTTCCACTGACTATTGGACACAGAGTTACGACAGAAAGCCTCCCTGTGAGGTGTGATCTTGTTATGCTGTTTGAGGCAGCTGAATAGAGAGGACTCACTTGAACAAAGCAGGTCCAAACACGATGGCCAGGTTTTCCAGAGTCATGAAATTCACTGCACTGTAGGTTGCTACCTTTAACAAGAAAGCACACAGGAACTGAAGAAGGTTTTGATGGGCTTTGGGCAGGCAGCTGAGCAGCTGTCTCAGGCGTTCTATGCATTCTGTCGTGTTGATTTTGTGCTCTGGAGGAAAAAAACCCCAAACAAACCCAAACTTAAAACATAGATATTCCTCATACCACCACAATTTGATCATAGACATTAGATATAAGGAAGGTTTAAAATTTATTAGCACAAAGTGAAGAAAAAATACATCCCAAACAAGGATTTTGTATACTAAATTTTGACATATGTTTTTCACTTATGAATATTTAAGAACCACTGATTTTCCAGATATTGAGTTTTACATTATTTTAACATCCTCTAGTGTTTTTTTTTTCCTCTTATGGCAGAATCATCCAGCACTTGCTGCTTTCCTAATGAAATTGCAGGCAGGAGTCATGTACCTGAATCCTCAAAGCTGCCTTGAAAGACAGTACAAGGTTGTCAGCCTTGACTCTCCCAAGAGGTTTTACACATGCCATGTGATTCTCATTAAGAGGAATGAGAAATTGTACTCTTTCAGCCCCATGCCATCTTCATTTCCTGACTAATTGGTAGCTCTCAGACTCAAAACATCTTTGCTCTATAAATATGCAACTGTAGTTACACAAGAGATACTTAAAATTCTAAATTTGGGATACTTAACATTTTCTTGGTTCTCATTTTTCAAAAAAGGGTAAAAAGGCAGAAAATGGGTTCACAAACAACTCCATTTGATCAGCAGTTCCATATCAGTAGGATAGTCTCCTAGTTACTGGAATCGAGATGACAGTACTGCTCAATAATTGGCAGCTGATGCTCAAATTTGCCATAGATCACCAGGACACATCTGCATAGCTCTGACATTGTTTATAAGCAAATCATGCCCTTGAGGGTAATTTTAGCCCTAAAAAACACATTCTGTGCAGGCCAAGGCCCATGGTGCTCAACTGATTAATGAGAAAAATGGAAAAGGGGATGGGGAGGAAAAAATAATTTAAAAAAAAATAACAGCAAGACTGTTCAGGGTAGAAAAAACAAGGTGCTTGCAAAAGCCCCATAGGTCTTTCGGCAGAGACTTTCACAGTTCATGAAACTGCTTCCTTTCTCTTCCTTTGTAAGGAAACTCTTACATGGGCACTTCGAACAAAAGCAGCCTGTGAAGTAACCCACAAAACCACTTATTTGTATGCAAACACCTGAATTAGTCACCAGTCAAAAATCACAGGGCAGACTGAGAACAGAGCAGGCAGTGGACTGCTGGGAGGGCTCATCCTGGCTTTGCATGCTGCTCCACACACTGCTGACCAAGAATATTATAAGAGGACTGATAAATAAATGCTAACTAAAAATACAGTTCTAAACGTGAACAGTGATGTGCAGAAAAGCCTCCTTTACCAGGGAAGGTTAATTAAAAACCTTCAGCTTGGAAAAGAGAGAAGTGGCTATATAAAGGCACAAGCAGCATTATGGTGGTGATTACATTAAAACTAAAAATATTATCTCAGTAGCTAGTATGGTATACAATTTTAAAAAGAAAACATGCAGAAGAGAAGCTTTCTCGAAGAATACAGAATTAGATTGCAGGATTCATTGCCAAAGGAAGGAAGGGAATCCAAAAGACTTAATGAATTTTAAAAATACTGTAGGCAAGTTTATAGATGCATGGTCCCTCCAAAGCAATTAAATATCAGTCTCAGATTAAGGAAACACAAAACTTTGTTTATAGAAGGTGGGATGAACACATTATCTGTCACTGTCAGAGAAAGGACAGAAGCTTAGAAGGTGCCCATTCTGTACCTTGGAAAGTTTTTAGCAAGCCAGAACAAATATTGTCTGGAAAAACAGCCACTGGTAGTTCTTTCAGAAAGAGCTTCAGGAGACTGGCCACAGAATCAACATCTCCATCATTAATAAGGTCTACTTTTTCCCCTTGATTATACTTCTGCCTCAATTCCTTGACTTTATTTGCTGAGCCACCAATTCGAAATACACCAACACGCTCCAGACCTGTGTAAGAAATAAAGAACAGTAAGCAGTGGTTGCTTTACCACATCTTTGTGATGAGAACTGGAGTTCAAAAAGCATGAGCTCTTTTCAGAAAATGCAATAATTGTAAATAAGGATTTTTCAGCATTTACAGCTGAAAAGTACAGCTTAAACAAAGAATATCAGTTTACAGAAGCCAAGCAGGATAAATATGAACTTACCAAATACCTCCAGGTACTCCACCATCTGTGTCACAAGAGAAGGAACCCCACATTGTTTTGCATCTTGTACAAGGGTTTCCAGAGGAACACCAAATGTGTTTCTTTCTCTGCTGGACTGTAGATCTGGTGAAACCTTATTTGTTGTGTGCCTAACTTGTACAGAGGAGAATGATTTCTGGGGAATAAAAACAAGCAAGTGATAAATAGTGACTGGCTTTTATTATTTTAACCTCTACAAAGGTTAAAATCAAAAGTGTACAATTTTGGTAAAATTCTTGTGTTCTGTGTAGCACCTTAATACAGATTTTATTTCTACTGTATATTCTTAAAATATTAATATTCTTCTGTAGAGCTGAGACAAGACTTGTGATGGGGTAAACTCCAGTAAAGACCCCTCACCCCTACAGTCAGGGAAAGTGGGGCCTTGTGTTGAGGCAGACTGTTCAGAACAGAGAGGGGTCACTGTCCTGCAAAAGAGCCCCAAAAGTCAAGAAAAAGCTGACTCCTTTCTGGTGCACAGCCTTCCAACTCCATTAAATTTGTGAATTTGTACTTAATTCCTGAGGATAAAATATGCAAGATTCATAAAGAAACCAGAATTGGAATTTAAGCAGCAGCCATGGCACAAGTCTCAGAAGGGGTTCCTTTCTACTTAACCAGTTATTGCAAATTTTTTACCCCAAAAAATGATGCAAAAACATAAGAAATCACAAACAGCTTGCACCTTTTGTCCTGTCTGATGAAGGAAGCTGCTTGTTTATCCTACCAGAGCATGGGCTGGGAAGTTTGTGGGTTCTGGGGGGGATGCCTGTCTCTGAAGACAGGCGATGGGGGCTCTGTAAGGATGGGGGCTGCCCCAGGTGGGCACAGCTGGCTCTGCAGCCCTACTGGGCTGCCTGGGGGAAGGGGGTGCTTAAAATATATATATATCTAAATGTATGCTTAGATACATTTAAAATACATATATATTAAATATATATTTAAGAATAATATCCCTCAGGAATATTTAAGGAAAGGGGAAATTCTGCCTGGCACTCTGAAAAGAGTCCTGGCTGCCCTGCCCTCTTTCCCACCTCCCCTAAGCCCCTTGCTTGCCTCACAGGCAGGTGCCATTACCCACAGTAATTGCTGCATTTTGACCTCATGTTCCTACCAGGTAATGAGAGCAGAAGTCCAAACCAGGAACACCTGGATTTACCATTTCTGCAATAGGACAATTTAAACAGTATTTAAAGGGGGATTTTTAATATTTATTTTTTTTGTAACATTATCTCAACATATTGTGAAACCAGCCTCTTCTTAAATGTTTTTATTACTATGTTTTCAGAAGGAAAAGGGAAAGATTTTCCCATTAATTTGAAGCTGAGCTGCCATAGTGAAACTATGTGTATGTTTTTCACACACGCCTGCAGCAAAGCCATGAGCTGAAGCTCCAGGCCAGCCCTGCTGCCATGGCAAAAGCACACACAGCACTTAAAACACCCCTGCCCATTCTGCTCTTTCACTACATAGGAAAACTTAGACTATGATATTAGTGTTACAGCATTAATAGCTATCTAAAAAGAACAAATACCAGCATGTACCAAACATTTTTGTATATAAGCTGCAAGGTGTTACAAAAAGCCTCTAAAATATCTGTGCACTATTACTCTAAATCCCTCCCTTTCCCTTTTTGGATGCAGACCATCAGCCTTCTCAAAAAGGAGGAAGGGTGTGAGAAAGGACCGAAGAAGCCAGATTTAAGTTCACTTACGCAAATGGAAAGGGAGGCGCCTGCTCCCATGTCAGACTGCAGCAGAGTGCCAGTATTTCAGCTGTGCTGCTCACAAGACACCATCACCTTTCTTCCCCTCCACAAAGCCATGAAGCCTGGCCAAAGCTAACTGCAGCCATTGGGCTGTTCCTCTACAATTAACTTATCATAGTACAATTGCTAGGCATCATCTTAATCAGCAGTTTCCCTCCAGAGTTGGTGGAAGGTAGAAATTAACTCCTAGTAAAAGTGCAGCCAGCACTGCACTTCCCTCTGGAGGCACCTTGCACAAGTTTAGGGCTGTGTTACCAGCAGATGTTTCCATGGCTACACACAATGCCACAGCTTCCCAGGCCATGCTGATCCTGGGCCTGATATTTACTCTTGAGTGGGTTTTTGCACTGCAGGTTTGCAGATATTCCTATTGCTTGCTGTCCCTCCTGCCTCCTACAACAGCAAGGAAAACACTATGAGGTGGCCCTCTGTGTACACATTATACCTACTTGTTAATATAACATGTACACAATCATTTTGGCCAATACATGGGCAAGGACCCATCCAGTTTTTAAAATATGAAGATGCAATTAAGCCCAACACGCTTGATAATTGTTTCAGATATAAAACCTGTCCTGGGAAATAAGTCATAAAGAAGTAACATTACAGTAGAAATTAATTTGGAGGAGGTTTTTAACACAAACTTTGTAAGCAAAATAAGGCAAAGAACCGTAGAGATGCTGAGTCAGACCCCCTTGGTGGAGCACTGGAAAAGCAGGAGAAAAAGAAAAGCAGCACCACACTGGTACAGCACAGATAGCAGAGATGGTTCCCTCTTCCTTAGCAGAAGGAATACCACTTAAAAACTAGTGCAGAATTTTAGCCCACTTACCTCTCCACAAGACCCCACAACGAGGTCTGAATAATGCTGTTGAGTAGAGCTTTCTTCCTCTACCTATGGACCTAGCCCCAGAAAAACCTACATCCACCGCACAGGCTCAGCCTGGCCTGTCTCTGCAGACAAGCTCCACCTGCACCCATCACCACAGCTGTAGCCATTTAGCCTGTTAAAAATGCTGTGCCCATCACCACAGCAGCAGCTGCTGCTGGGCCCACGGGAGGTGCTGGGGCTGAAGGTGCTGTCCCCCCAACACTGCTAAAAGAGGGAGGGAAGTGTGCTGGCCCTCTCACAGCGGTGTTCTGTGCTCGTGGCTGAGGGTACGGGCGGCGTTTTGCTGTGACATCCCCTCCCTAGGGCATTCAAATCCTCTGCCCTCCAGTCCCCATGAGCAGAACTCCCTTTATCGCTGTGTTTGAGAGGCAGCTGGAGCACAAGCAGCTCCCCCACCTTTGCTGGCTCCTTTTGGGACAGACAAAAGCACGGATCTTTTGTCTGGTTAGGGTCAGACAAATCACAAATCAAGTGGGCCCGCAGCAATCTGCGCTCTGCAGAGAAACACGTCGCAAAAAGGCAAGAACTACAAAATTAGAACAAAAAATTTTCTACTCTAACTCTGATCCCGTCCCACTGCACATTTTTCTCTTCCATCTTACTAGATGCCACAGCAGTGACCCTGCTGACATGTCACTCCCTCCCACTCCCGCTTCAGCCGAACGTGTGAACTGTAGGCAAATACCTTCCAAAGCAGCAAATTCTCCACCTGAGCAGCAAACACAATTTTTATCTGTTGATTCATGACAAGGCAGCAGTCACTGCAATCAACCTCTTGGTCTCGACTGCTCCTCTAACTTCAATTATTGAAGAATTTGCTTTCAAGTCCTGCCTGCGAGCTGCGGCCAGGCTGAGGGAAGCTGCTGACACCCCCGCTCCCGGGAAGGCCGCAGCAGCTAGAGGGCACACGAGGCTTGCCAGAGAGGTGGTCCTGCGAGCCCCACTGCGGACACGGCAAGGAGCCCCAGGCCCTGGGCAGGGTGTTCCTTTCCTACCGAACAGCACGGGCCGGAGGGATGATTCCTCCTCGCATCGCAGCTGTACAAAGAGCAGGAGGCTGCAGGCAGCACAAATTAAACATGTAACTGCTCATACTGTGTAGCTGAAATTCCAACGCTTCCTTTACAACCTCTGGATCAAAGTCATCCCCTGCAGGACTTCAGACGTATGAAAAGGATGTGTGGTGCTTTGAGAAGCCACCCTGACTTCAAGAGCCACGTCTAAATTAAAATCAAAGCTTTTGGTCTCCCTGCACCCTGCCTCCCAGGGGAAGGCTTGTGAGGAAAGGCAGTGCCCCAGCCTGGGTGTGTGAGGGGCTGGACGAGCACCAGGGGCTGCCTTTGTACTCTCCACACTGGGGCCGTGGCCTCCAGCTGCTGAATGGGCTACTTGTGTGGGTTTCTGATGCTTCAAAAAGACAGAGAAAGGATAAACCCAAAAGGAAAACAGAAAAGTTTAGTTTTACTCCTTAGAAAACCAGGTTTTTACAGCAGCATTAGGAACAGCAGGATCCCTGTGAGAGAGGGCAGAGGTAAATCCACTCTTGGCAGCAGTAAAAAACAATAGCAGCAAGAAAAATAATTAACTGAGGTTTCATGGTTCATTGAAGTTTCCCTTCAAAGCTACAAGCAGCCTGCTCTGCTAACTTGGTGATCTGTGTCAGCTTTAGGAGCCTCCAAGCATCCAGCCAAGGAGGAAAGAAAGCCCTTGCTGGTGGGCAAGAGCCGAGCAAGGAGTGCATACCCCACAGGGATGTGATGTGGGTAGTCCTCCGTCGCTCACATCCAGCTGGAGAGGCTCTGGTGGCTCTGGATTAGAGGCAAACAGCTCTGGTGATGCCAGCTGCAGGCTTTGAGAAGGCACTGTCATACTATGATACATCAGTTGCACCACCACAGCCTTGAGAACTCTGGAGAGCTAAGCCCATAAAAGCATCCCTGAATTATCACGAAAAACAGTCAGGGCTGATGCACACAGCTGAGATTCCATCAGACAAACCGGTATTACTGGCTTTCAAAACAGGTTTTCATCTCACACACAGCATTTGTACATTTTATACCAATTCATCATGAGCCAGTCTAAACAATAAACTTAGTAAATTCTAAAAATTTGCACATTTTATAGTATATGGACCTGATAGATAAACCATATGGTTTCTCAAGCAAAAGGAAAAAATGGAATTAAGAGCTACAACCAAGACAGAAGTAGACATGGAAAAATGCATATCATATTAGGTAATAATTGGAAAGAAACGAGACATCTCTCTCTCTTGATTATTACAGTATCAATATAAGTTTTCCTACATTCTAGCTGGTAAAAGTCATAG